TGGTTTCGTGCGCTGCCGCGTGAGTCAGCGGCGCCCGTTGTGGGCCTGGGGGACGCCGAGCGGCTCCTTTCCCGGCAGCGTTGTGTTCCCCGCGGCCCCCCTCTGTTGTAACGCTCGCTCTCTTCAGCTTTAGGATAAATCCGGCAATCCTGAGGGTAGAGCTAGACCCTTGCGTGTAGGTAAGCGTTACAAATTAAAGTCGTGACAAAGGCGGCTATGAAAGCGTGTGTATTGCTTCTGACAACGCTTTCTGGTAACGCTTTCTTGGGAGGGGGAAGGCACGTTGCTGCCCCGCGTAAACTAAAAACCACGTAAGTCTTGCTAGCTCTATATTTGGGACTTTGTTTTACGTGGGTATGGCTGAAGTGGACAAGTTTTAACCTAAAAATTTCGTGCTTGATTATGAAATTTAGGAACGCATAAACTTTTACTGTACAAACGTACTTAGTCAATCAAAAAACAAAGAAGCTGTTAGTTTTTAGGACCTAGTCTAACAAAAGCTTCACGCATGTCTAGCTTTTTAACAATGAATGTTCATTTTAAAGTTGATGGGGTATGCCAAAAGCCTAAAGATATATGTGTTTTTGAATGCTTGGGATTTGGCAGGGGTCCTCCTGAATGCCTCTGAAGATCAAAATATTGTTTGATCTGTCAGTTTTGTGTGTAACTTTCTTGACTTAGAATATATGTAATTTCTTTCAGAAAGAGTGAGTGTTTATATCCTTCAAAATGCCCAACTCCAATGCTAAATCTCACCGTAGCCTTAGAGGTGGTCAGGAAGCTGGCAGGCGGGAGCTGATTTCCAGATCTTTACAGAGTGCTCAACATTGCCTGGAGGACCATGATTTTGGAACTGCATATGCTCACTATTTGCTGGTGCTAAATCTAGCTCCTGAGTTAAAACCTACTGTCAAAGTAAGTGCTCCTTGAATTATTTGGGGCAGTTTTAATTACTGTATTCTTCTTGAAGTTTTCATGCCTGTGATTTGCTGCATGTAACTTGTTTTCCTCTTCATTTTTCCAAATACAGTCAGAAAACAATAATGACAGCGAAAGCCAGCTTAATAAGCCGTATGCCCATACAGGAAGGGAACTGACGCACTTAACTTCTTTTAGCGCTCTATTTGTCAACTTAGTTTAATAAAAAGAGAACCTGGTTAGTACTGGCTCGCAGTATAGTGCGATGTGGATTAGTATACGCACAAGCTTTTGTTACATGTTTCTGAGTGATGATACTCCATATGGCTATCTATGGGACAGCTTATTTCTGCTCGTCCAGGTGACACACCTAAACTGGAGACAGTATCCAACACTTAGGATGATGTGTGCTGCTGCTTAAGGGAGTGAACGTATTCAGGTTCATGCCAGGACACCTCTGTAGATATTTTCAGGGCTCAGTTCCCTACTTCTTGTAGCATTACCTGCTCAGTGGTGTATGTTTTATTTTCCAGGAAACATTCCAATTTACTCTCTTTAAATGGGCAGAAGAGCTAGATTCTTTAGCACGAATTCAAGATTTATTTAACTGTTATGAACAGGCACTTGAACTGTATCCCAATGATGAAGTGATATGTAACAGTATGGGAGAACATCTTTTCAGGTTTGTAGTAATCTATATTCAGTATTTATAAGGCTCACTGTTTATTTTTGTATATCAATAAACTATGCCCAATTCAGCAGAGCACATAAAATGTACTTAAAAGAAGTAAATGCAAGTATATGCATCCTGGTGTAGTTTTGCTGTTGAATTTCGCATATGTTCTGTCAGTTTAAAAAGTAGAGTGGCCAATGCTAAAATACATGTTGGTAGGCACAGCTGTTATTGTTTAGAAGTAAAAGCACTGCCTTTATTTAACAATTCATTAAATAATTATTAAATTAAAAAGAAAACTCTTGTCTTTTCGTTCTGGTCCTTCTTGAGGTTTCATGTGACAGTGAGGAAGCTAGTCGTGTATACTGCACTGTGAAGAGCTATTCTTCTTAATTAGTATGTGCTTATGTTTTTATTTAATAGTGTAAAGCATTCTTTTCCTGCTTTTTCCAGAATTTGCAATATATGATACTTTGCTGTTGCTTTGGGCTCTAAGGTCTTTCAAGAATGGAGTTTAAGATTGAAATCGTAGGTCCTGACTCCAAATAGCTTTGATTAGATTTCTTTTGAGATTCCTTTATGTATTTTTTTTCTTTTAAGGGGGAACTCTCCCATCATTGTATTAAAATATGTACTTTTCTTGCATTTTATAAATCTTATTTTTCAGTGCTATCTGATTTCGGGGTATGTAATAGATATCCTTAAAAAGAAATGCTTCAAATCACATTTTAATTTCAAAAGTGCCACCTAACGGAAGCACTGGCAACTCAAATTTTGATTGTTTCACAATATGTTCACTTTAGATACCGTACAACAGCTTTGGGATTTTGTAGCATTCTCTTGCGACTTGAACTGCACTGCTGAGTTGCTGTTGCCATGTTATTACAGCAGGTTCTTGTAAAACCTGTTCCAGTTTGTCAGAGAACACAGTGATGAGTGAAGACTGCACACAATGGCGTTTTTTGACTACTTTTGAATGCTGTAATGTAGAGCTGTGAGTCATTGTGTTTCATAAGCTAATATGAGGTGTTTTGTTTCAAAGAGAATCTTTCTAACTAGTGTAAAGTATATTTCCATTGTTTTGCAACTAGTATAGGACTTCTTTGCCCATCTACAGGTATTTGCAAATACTTGGCAGCATGTTTGCTGTTTATTTGTCATTTTTACTGTTAGAATGGGCTTTAGAGATGAAGCAGCTGGATATTTTCACAAAGCGGTGAAGCTTAACCCAGATTTTGCTGATGCAAAGGAGAATTTTTACCGTGTTGCAAACTGGCTTGTGGAACGTTGGCACTTCATCATGCTCAATGATACCAAGAGGAATCTTACTTACCTAAAAGCAATAGAGAATGTGATCCGCTCCGGGTGTAAATCTGTTCTTGATATTGGAACAGGAACAGGAATCTTGAGGTATGTCATAAGTACATGTTAAATGTGGACATAACCAACAGAAACATATTTGTTGTCTAACAAAATTGTGTAAACTTAATGTGGCTGCCAGTAAGAAATTTAAAATTTGCTTCCATGCCTTTATTAACCTAAACCTTAAGAAGGGAAACAGCATTAAGAAGTAACCGAGCTTTGAGGTTAGTGTCTAATAGTATTTGTGAGAACCACATTTTGATACATTTTATATTTTTTCTGTGCTAAGAACTGCTGTTTAAGTTGGAGAGTTCATGTTGGTTTTGGGGTAGTAAGGTTACGTATCCTCTCCCTAAGTATCAAGTGCGATACGTACTAGTCACTTCATTTAGGCAGAGAAGTTAAAGATGTAAATGAAAATGCTGTAGTGTAAAGAACAGGCTCGGCATAGCTGAGGAGTATCCTTATGTCGGCAGTATTTTTTGGTAGCAATAATATCCTGTACATCAAGAGGATATCAACTGTGTGATATCAGTGCTCACACAAGAGGTGTTTCACTTGTTGCACTGTCGTGTTTGGCCTTGAACTATTTTCTTAGAGACGTGAAGCAGATGCAGAAATAGAAAATGAGAAAGCTTAGTATCTCATCATACTTTACCTAAAATGATTTGAACTGGAGCAAAAAAGCCCTGATTCTTATTTTTCAGTATGTTTGCAAAAAAGGCAGGAGCATCTTATGTCTATGCCTGTGAATTGTCAAAAACCATGTATGAACTTGCTTGTGATGTGGTGGCAGCAAATAATATGGGAAGTGAGATCAAAATTCTCCATTTGAAGTCACTTGATATAGAAATTCCAAAGCACATACCTGAAAGGTAAGTTGTTGTACTCTGTTGTGATATTATTTTTAATTTGCTCTTAATTCAAGTTGAAAACATTCTGTGACCGAAACTTCACAGGCAACCTTATTTTCTGTTTAAACATAAAACATAGAGAGGCCCTTCCAAGTTTATGTTTTCATGAAGCATTGCAGAAAAGATACCATGTTTTGAAATCATACTAATTTCTACGGTAAGTTAACGATGTCATAAGTTAAGGACTTTGATTCTTTGAAGATATGAGTTTTGGGGCATATCCAGCTGTATTACAGCAATAAGAGAAGAGAAATTAATTTCAATAACTTCCTCACATGCATGTTCTGTCATCATGTCTAGGTTGCTATACCATCAAAATTTTTCTGTAACATACTTCTGTACTTAGCAGCTTATGGGCTGCAGAAAGGAGCCAGAAGTAGGATGGAAGCATATAGTAGGGCCTGCAAAGGAAGACTGCTCCTGGGACGTACCAAACCTCTGTGACTCCATATGAGCCTCTTTGTTTGTCAGAGAGATCAGAAACTGCACGTTGTCAGCCTCTTTCATGGTCAGGGAGTGAGGGAAAACCTCCTCCCACCTTGCCACTAAAGAGAGTCCTACTCTGTTTGGAGCCATCCCTAGTTAACCTCTGGAAGGTTGAGGGAGGATGGGCTGGCTCTAGCTGTGAATGCCAATGCCCTGCCATGGGGTGGATCTCTGGAGCACTGATGGTAGCTTTACATTGTTGACCAAAGTAAGTTTCAGCAGAGGAGTGTTGCAACTTGTTCTAGGAGAATACATTTTTGTGTTTATATAGTGCGTTTTCTTTCTTTTTTTAATACACACATCTCTCTGCCTGCCTGTTTAGCACGGATTCATGTGCTTTTGAAAATTAAATCGCTTATCTTCCAAGTTTTTAAAGACCCCTCCATTTATTTGGTAACCTGTAAAACTTCTAAATCCAGTCAGCATTTTTTATCCATACTTAAGTTTACCTATGTAGCAACAGTTTCAACTTTCCTTACTGTTTTTAATCTGATTTTTTTTTTTGGGGGGGGGGGGAGGGGAAGCAATTATGTTCTGATTATCTTGATCACTGTGCGGTGTATAGTAGATGTGATCTGAACAGAAATGATCAGTGGTTAAATAATATCTTTTAAAGCATATCCAAAGCTACTGGGCCAAGTCATCAACTTGAAATTGCATTTGGCAAATTAGAATTTGATCCAACATTATAGCTTTCAGTATACCTGACCCAAGCTTTTTATGCCACCCTGCTCCTCTTTGCTCACCTTCCAATTCAAATGGGGTTCTTCAGGAAAATCTGTGAATTTTTAGCAAGTACAAATCTGCTGAGATTTTAGGGCGATGGAGGAAGGAATTTATATGCAGAGCACTGGTGTATCATTTCAGCTCACTGATGCTAGGGATGCGGGTTAAGCTTATGGGCAGGAAATAATCCATTTTACTTCTACAAATTACTAAAACTTAGCACAATGCCTGCATTGATTGTATAGGCTGATAATCTCAAACAGTGAAGCTGCCTTGATTTAGCATGCCAGTCAAGCTGTGTTTAACTGCATCAGCTGAGCTGCAGTAACTGGTCACCTGCATCCTCTTAATGCATGCACCAGCTACCATGTATGAGCTGACAGGAGTAATTGTTAATGTTGCAGAAATGTCTTCTCTTACTATGGCATGCCTGTTCCGCACATTTTTTTGGTTTTAAATGAGATAGGATCCACTTGTCTGCATAGTAATTTTACTGTGCTTTGATAAAAGTAATAGAAGAATGCTATAACACTGCAGCTTCTTGCATGCTTTTATTTATTGTGTGATGAAAATTTTAAAAAGTGCTTGAGTGAGATCCTGTAACTGTTGGGGAGATGGGGAGAGTCGTGTGTGTGTGTACACTCACACTCTTGGACAAGGTGCAAACAAAATAAGTGTTCTGGAGCATCACTGGCCCTGTGGCCAGACTGAAACATTCTCCTATTTTGCTTAGGTTCTTCCTGTGCATAATAACTTATTTATAAACACTGACTGAGAAGCTTTGTAGTAAACTCTTACTCAATATTTATTATCTTTTTCCTACGTCTTATAAAACTTGCAATAACAATTCCAAGTATGTTCTTTGAGAGGACTTTTTTGCTCATCTATATCAAAACTTCACAAGGCGATGAACAGTGATAAAAATTCTGCTCTGAATCTGCTCACATTCTGAATTTTAACTTTCAAGGAATGACTGTTAACAGAAATGTGTATTCCTCCCCCCACCCCCTTATCTAGAGTTTCCTTGGTTGTCACAGAAACTGTTGATGCGGGTTTGTTTGGAGAAGGCATTGTGGAGAGCTTGATACATGCTTGGGAGCATCTGCTCTTACAACCAAAGGTAAGTGATGTAGGTATATAGAAATGTGATTCCTATTTGTAAATATTTGTGTTTTTAAAAATTATATATATGCACATGCACACACATGAGAAAACGTCTTTTAAATACTCTGTACCTACTCATTTAAAAAAATAAAAAAGCAAGTCTTGTTCTGTGAATTTGATTTTGGTGAAAAGCAATACGTGGCAGCTGCATACATGGAGCATGTGAGTTATTGTTCTGATTAGGCAGGTACTTAAAATGCATATTTCCCTGATGCAACCTTCCAAGGGCAGCATAAGGAGATAGTTCACTTTTGAACGCTGTTCATTTCTTGTTCTCTTGGTGAGTAGCATTGGAGATGATTTTTGTGTATGTGTAACAGGCACTAGTCCCCCATGGGTTCAGTTGCAGCCTAGTCATTTTTATATTGAAATACCAACTAGCCATTAGAAAGTCTTATCAGTCTAAGCGGAAAATGTTAGATTGTAGTAGAAATATCTCTAACTAACATTAGGCAACAGCTATTATGATCTGGTAAATATGCCATATGCTTATGCTGTAATTTTTGCGAACTGCTTGGACGTTTTTGGAAGACTAAACAGTTCCACTGGGTCTTGTAGTTCTTAGCCTATATATTTTGCCTTTAAACTAGTATACACCAACTCATATAAGACTTTGTCATATTACTTTCTGTTTAACCTCTGAGCAGTTCTGATGAAATATAAGCACTTCTCTTTTTTTGGTTGTATGTTGCCTTGGTTTCAAATAATAGGAAAGTCTTACCTGGCTGAAAGTTTTTATATTTTATTGAAATGAAACTAATGACCTCTAGTGTTAAGAATGGGAATCGTGTATAAAGGAAAAGTCCTCAAATGTTTGAATATACCGTAAATGGGAACAAATTAAAATACAGATTTAAAATTTCACGGGGCAAGTAGTAAACTAGAAAATGGAGCTGATGTGCGTAAGACACTACTTAAATAGTTGACTGGAAGTCTAAGAAACCTAGTCGCTGGGAAGTTCTGCTGATATTTTTGACTGTAATAATGAGTGGCCCGTAGTAGTCCCTAACTTGGGATTTGCAGTAGTGGTAGAAATAAGTCACTGTCTCATTGCATATTATTATTCGTATTTCTACAGCCCAAAAATCAAGATATCCATACTAAAGAGTATGGCCAAGTTATTCCCGCAAGTGCTACGATATTTGGGATGGCAGTAGAATGCAAAGAGATACGTAGACATCACAGGTATATTTATGCTCTGGTATGATTTGAACCGGTACTTTTTATTTGGGAGGAGAGAACGGTGATTTTAATTTTTATGGAGTGTTTTTTATTTAGTGGTGTTTTGTTTTGTTTTTTTTAAATAGTTACTTGTCTGTCTCCCTAAACAAAACTGCTCAGTGACTTTTTCTCATAGTTCTGTGCCACTACCACTAACTCCTCCTCCCATGCTTTTTTAGGTATGGGCTTTTTCAATCACTTCATTAGAAACTCTTGATTTCCTTTTATGTGACATACGTGCCTTTAACACATACTAAGGAAATAAAAAAAAAAAAAAACTTAATTCCTTAATAATATAACTCTCTCTCTCTGTTTCTGGATCAGAGATTCTTGGACTAACGTTTGGCCTTTTCCTCAATTTGCCTTCCTTATAACTTGCTGCCTACCTCAGTGCTGCATCTAACCCTTTCAGAAGCTGAAGAAAGGATTTTGTAGAACCTAAACGTTAAAAATCCTGCCTGGCGCACTCCTTCGGAAGATGTAGCTCATCTAATTTTGAGCTAGCATGCAGGCTAGTAGTCTCTTGAGATCAGTTCTGACTGTGTACAACTATTCTTATTCATTTTTACTCTCGTCTTTTAGAGCAGCATCACTGTGTGGGCACAGTCCCTGTCTCAGATGCTTGGATCTGGTGCATTTTATTTAGGATTGATTTTTGTCACAGGCTAAACAGAACGCTTTAACTTTTCAGTACCCTGGAACAGAAAAATAGCTAGGCTGTATCAGCAGTTTTTCTAATGCAGTACACCCAAACAATGGTCAGAAAGAGACAAAAATTTCCATAGTAGATGGTTATAGAAGAATTTTCCTTTAGGAGAAGTTAATTATCCATCTGTTAAAAGATGTTTTACGCTTTGAAAAGTGAACGTTACTGTGGCTTACAGAATTTAAGCAGGATTAAAACTCTATCCTATCTACTGTAACTTTGGGTTATCGAGTTAGCAATCCATTCTGATAGTATAGTTTAAGGCCAGGTGGTGAGCAGGACTGTAGTGATTTCCACAGATTAATTATACGCTGTGGGAGAAGAAACACTTGAGTTCATCAGTTTTAAATTTCCTGACCTCTAGGTTAATCAAGATCCTTTTTGCTCCAATAGGAACGTCTGTCGTAAGGCAATACTCTTTAATAAGAGTGCTGCTAAACTTTATGTAAAAAAAAAAAAAAAAAAAAATTGCCTGTTCTCAGATTTAGACTATCCAGATCTCTTTGGTTTCTTCTGATGCATGCATCTTCTCATTTCCCAAAGCTTTTCCATAATCTACATCAAAACTTTGTATTTATGATGTTCTTTCTGAGCAGGATGCCTAGTGAAATAACCTTACGAAAGTATCTCTTCCTCTGTGCTTTTTTATAGCCTGACAGCATTTGTCTTATTCCTGTTGTGCAATTAATATAGTTTATCTTTGAGCTTTGAAAAAGGAGAGATTACTCCGTGATTATAGTAAATGTAGAGTCCAGAAATCTGCGTGAATAACTGAAATTTTCTTAAGTACGTTTGTTAAGAATTAATTTAGTCTAGCATCAAGTACTGATTCAATTTGCTTGGGGAGGGAATCCCCTTTTAGTCTGGGTGTTGATTATCTTGCAGATGACATAAAATTGTTAAAAGCATAAAGGGAGCAAAAGATCAGTGTCAGAGACGGATAATTCTGAGTTGCACTGTATTTCTTTACTCTAGATAAATGGTACCAATTGTTTTTCTTGCAATTCTGCTTTTGGTACGCTTAAGCCAACTTAAAGTTTTTATGCTAATTTACCACCTATTGTAACTCTTTCAGTTGATGCTTTAATGATAATTTTAATATCACTTCAGTATACCTGGTGCTGCTTGTACCCATTGTCTATGTTTCCTAGAGTTGCTCTAGGGCCTAACTCTGCTCGTTTTTACAGATAGCTTCCACTTTCTGCTGAAATCACTGCACACTGCGGTTCTGTCAGATCAGTGTGAAATACATGTTCTTCCAAAAGAAGAAATGAACTGACAGATTTCTCAGGAGTCTTAAGAGTTCTTCTAAAGACAAAAGTGTTGTGGAAATTTAAATTTAAGATACCACTGTGTAGTATATGTTGTTTTTTCAGGTTTGGATTAGATATGTCTCAAGAGTCACATAGTAACAGTAAAGGAACGTTCTAGAAGAACGTGACTCTACTGCATTGGTGCATCTACATCTAGTCATTTTAAATAAAATACACTAGAAGATGGGCTACTGTACTAATGTAAGTCACTGTAGACTTAACAGCTTTCATGTTTTTAATGTAAAATTTTTAGTCCATTGGGATCCAGAAAAAAGGCAGAAAAATCAGTCAATTTTTGTGCTTGCCTCTTAAAGCTGGAGGGATTCGCTGTGATAATCTGCTGACCTCTTCTGCAAGACAGCCTTATAGAGAGACTGTTGTGTTTTAGTTGTAGTACAGACCTCCTCATCTTTGTTGTTAAAATACTGAGATTAATTTAGCAGAAGACAAGATTCTAACTGTAGATAGTATTGCTGACAACTTTGGTATTTGTTCGTTAATCATTACATGTCATACAGAAAGCACAAAATGCTAACTGTGTCACTACACTTTTATTGCCAGGGACAGTGCTCCAAAGATGGAACCTGATTCGTTTTAACATTTTATTTGTCCATAATGGTCAAAATACACTATCAGCCTAAGAATCTAAGTAAGGACAGAAGACAGTTTATTCAGCTCTACTATCAAGAGCTTCCCGCGATCAAGGAGAAGACTATATCTAACACTAATATTATCAGACAGCCTGTCTAGTCACAGTTGTAGGAAGGTCTCTTGTAGTTCCTGAAAAAGTGATTCAGAATTTAAAATAGTTTTAGAAATTTAGTATAGTTGTCATTGGAACTCTTGAGTGCTAGGTCTCACTGTAAGAATGTAGATTTTTGTGGTAGCTGTCACTTAAATGGGAAGAACTAAATGGTTCACAGACAAGCACACTTTTTCGGAATTACCTGAAGTGTAGCTTGTGTAAGACTTTTGTCTCATGCAACTTCCTGACTCACAGTCTAAGAATGAGAATATATCCAAGTCCTCAAACCTAAGACGGAAAGGGTATGTGATAAAGTAGTTGCTTTAAAGCAGTCATACCATTATCTCTTCCTTGAAGCTTGTAACAAGGTTGTTCTAGAAACCTGGCTGATCTCCCATCTTGTAAGAGAGGGTACTTTTATTCTGAGTTGGCAAAGCCTTTTCCAGTAAGAAGTCAACCCAGTGATTTTCCTTGCAGCTATTTAACTAGGAAAAATACTTTATTTTTACATAGATTATGTGCTTGATAAATATCTTAAAGATACTGCAAAAATATCTTAAAACATTTGATTTGCAGTATCTTTTATATGGAAGAGGCTCAAAAAAATAAATTTTCCTGTTGCATACCTTTCTTCCTTGTTGTGTTTGTCATAGGTGAGCAATCAGCCTAATTATCCTTCTAATGCAGCAGAAGAAAAAAGCATCTTTGTTCTTATTATCACAGGGCATGTTTTATTTCCATATTTCTTTTAAGACTCTAGGAGCAGTACATAAGAGAGGGCAAAGGTCTCTGACAAAAAACGTGTAGGGCTTATTTTCGCTATCCAGTAACAACATTCAGTTCAGGTTCTTAAAGGAGGTTCAGTTTCTGTGCTTTTGAGCTGCTCTAGCAGCTTAAGAGCTGCTGTGTAACACATTAAACAACTCTATGGAGTGTTTTTTGGTGTTTTTGAGTATTTTCTTCTTGCACTCTACGTTTGAAAACACTTAGTCTTCCTGGGAATAATTTTTTTTTCCAAGTTATTCTAATAGTTTAATTTCTCATTAATTTTTTCATCTCTCACAGAGTGGGAACGCAAGAAATCGCTGGTGTACGCTTGGCAAATTCAGTGCAGTTCTTTAGTCCAACATATGCCTCTGTTAGTTCGGAGGAAACTGTTGAACCTTACACCACCGAAAAGCTTAGTCGAGTTCCTGGAGGTTATGTACCTCTGACAGAACCCTTTCAAGTAATGACTGTGGATTTCAACAATCTGCAGGTAATGTTTGTACATCATTTAAAAGTAATCTGTTTAGAAATAGAGCCTTGTATCTTAGTTGTTCTCCAGGCTCAGTTTCACAACTGTTCGCAAGTTTTAGGTTGGCAGTGTTGCATTAAAGCCATATAGTCCTATGCGGATTCTGGTACTTGTTTAATCGCGTGGTGAACTGGTTCATCAGAAAATGACAATCTTTGGGTTTTTATAGTTGGGGACTTCCTGCTTTTTTGTTGTGTGGGAGTTTTTGTTTGTTTTTTGTTTTGTTTTGACACAGTTAGTGCCCTGAACTAGCTTACCATAGGATCAAACAACTCGGACTCAGTGCAGGGAAGGAGAACAAGAATGCAAAAGACCTATTTTAAATTGTGTATGCAGTCGTGGAGCTGGCGTAGTTAATTTCTCTAAAGTTACAGAGTCTTCAAGGAACTCTTGGAGACAGAAGAGAGGATTTTATATCTAGCATCATAATGTCAGCAAGTATTGATGGGTAAGCGTGAAAGAAACAGGAGGTAGAGAAGTTGCCTTTCCCGTATTCAGCCAGTTTGATTCCATCCTGTGGTGAAATCCTATGGTATTTTTATAATATGGTATTCTAAAATACGGTAGCATTATTTTGTATGTTTTGCACAAATAAATTTGTGCACATGTACCAAATATGCCTGAACTGTGAGGTAGGGCTCTCAGCTGAGCATGCTGAAAAGGTGATGCATCCGATCTCTGGTCAGTGCGTATTCCTTGCTCAATGACTTGTGGTTAGGAGTTAGCATTGAAGTGTGTGAGCTTAAAATAGATTCTGTTATATAAATGAAGTTTTTCTCTGCTCACGATTGGAAATTGTGGTGTTTTGAATCAATAACTTTTCCTAGTTGCCTTAGTAGACATCATGAGGTTAAGAATGAATAAGACAAGGCTCCCCAGTATACTCTTAGGACCAATCCCTCTGTGACCTAATGTTGCTTCTGTTTCTAGCATCTGTAAGAAACTGTTACTTCAGTGAGGTGCCTACTCTTAAGCATTTGTCTGATGGTAGAAATGTCAAGATAACTTTAAAGAATAAAGAACACTCTCTAAACCATGTTTCATAACTCATCCTTTGAAATTTCCAGTTAAAATAATTAAAGTGTTCCTGTTTTGAAGCGGTAAGGGTGTCATAAGTAGAGGTAAAGGGAAGAAATGCAATTAACTCAATTGGAACTATTAATTACTCTGTCACTGGGCAAATGTGGCTATTTTAAACACTGGTAGCTTATTTTCACTCCTGTATCTTTTTCTGTCATGACCGCTTTTGATGTCCAAACAGTGCAACTAAGAAAGATGATACATTTTCTCATGTCAGAGGGGGGGAAAAAAAAAACCCTGATGTGCTTACTGATAGCAGATTTATCTATTAGAGGCTGAAATTAAGATATAAAATCACTTACTTCTATTAAGGTAATTTTAAAGACCATTCTCTAAACTTATCACAGAACGGTTGAGGTTGGGAGGGACCTCTGGAGATCATCTGGTCCAACCCCCCTGCTCATGTAGAGTCACCTAGAGCACGTTATCCAGGATTGCGTCCAGACGGATTTTGAATATCTCCAGGCAAGGAGACCAACAATTCAAACAATTAGAGGGATGTTACACTTGTTCTGCCTGTGTTAGTTATCCAGACTTAAATTGACAGAACAGAGGAAAGACTAAAAATACAGCGTAACAGTATTTCTTAAACAGTTACAGGAGGCTTCAAAGGCATTGATAAAGATTAGAGAAGTAATTCTAACAATTAAAATTAAGTTTAAAAAAATGATAATTTTGAGCAGCTGAGTTATGCCGATTACTTTTATTACTAGCAGAAGGTAAGTTCCTCCAAGGCAGAGGAATGAGATGTGGCTAAAATCACAGGCTGCAAATGTTTGCAGCTGGCCGAGTGATACCTGTATGTGTTTGCTGGCAGCATGAGTGTTGCTCAGAAGTGGAAGTGAGTGTTTACCTTGGCAGCCAGTAATTACAGCTGACTCTCACTTTCAGGCCCTAAAGCAACTGAGCTGTTGCCAACAATTGTAGATACTAGCTCTTTCTAATTTTGAGGAGAGGTTACTGTGTATGTGGAATGTCTGAAAAATTCTGAATCAAGACATAGAAACAACGCAGTTAACCAATTTCCTGTAGTTTTTCTTTCTACTTGTAGTCCCATTTGCCTATTTTAATGCAAGTTATCTTTGTTTTTCTCACTTACAAACTATACATCGTATAGTATTCTTTCCTTCTTTACTACTTATCCCTTTCTCACAGCTTTATTTTCTTTGCTGCCTCATTAACTACGTTGATAAAATGCCATGCCTGATGTATTGGAGCTGTTCTAGTCTGTAATTGCCATAGATAACAAGAGAAAGTTTAGGAGTGTGAGGAATAAATCCTGAATAAACAGTATAGTAGAGAGAAAAAAAAATTTCCAGTTAGTAGTTCATCCACTTTTAAGTGTTATATTACATCCGTATCTTGTGGCACACTATAGCTACTGGAACTAGAAGAGAATCTTGGGCCTGAAGCTTTTGAGGAACAATCAGAAAGAATATTTTTGGAAGGAAGTATGTTTTTAACTAGCTGTCAGTTCCCAGAGACAGCAACAGACGCATATGCTCATGCTTTAGCCTTCAAGGGGCTTACTTCCAGCAAACGTTTAATGTGTTACACTCCTCTCCTCCAGTTGAGGACATGCATGGAAATGACTAGCAGCAAAGCACTTTTTTGAAGAGCAATGAGATCTCACTGTGAACTTGTTTAGCATCTTGCAGTTTTGATGTTTGCGTTGTTTGGCTATTCATCAATAGCGAGAAGAAGAGAGCGATAGATAAACTCTTGGAAAACCCAGAATAAGAATAAAGAAGGAAAAGTTAAGTGCAGCATGGGAGAGCTAGTCATATTCTTCGGAGGGCGCTCCTGACCCCTACCCCACCCCCTTTGCCCAGTTACTTTAGTTGTTATTTTGTTAAGAGTGAGGTTTAGAGAGGACAAAAGCTGACATGTGGAGTTCAGGAAACTGCCAAACTAAACTTAATAGGCATTGCTATCATGAACCTTGTGGTTGTGACTAAGGAGATCTCAAGGGACCAAAGATTGTCTGTTGTTGGTATGTGCCATACCTGTCTAAGGTGTTGGAGCTGGGTTCTTTTGTTTGTGAATGTTGTCGGTGGCAGAAGGTTATTGCTGAGGAAAGGAAAATGTACTTAAAAGATTACTTAATTTCTGTTAATTTAGGCAAGTGGGAGAATTGATAACCCGTTTCTTTTAGGGAACATCTTAGTTGGCTCTTTGAAGTAGTTGAATTGTATATGCATGAGCTTTTGTACAAAACTGATAGCCTAGGTAGCAGAGAAAATAGCACCAAATATATTTGTCTTAGTATTTTCGTAATGCTTTGCCAGTCCTCTGAAGGAACTCGGTGCTTGCATACATGATTAATTGATTATCTGCTTGAGTATTTCTAGGATTGATTAAACTTAAATGCAGCCTTTAACATACGCTTAAGTGTTAGCTTAAATGCAGCCCAAAAGACTGGCTCTGTTTTATTATTTCTGTTGGACAAGCTTTGCCTGTCTAAGGCATTTCGTGCAGTCTTTGGTTTGGTGTTTTTAAATATGTACACGTGTATGTAGGCACACGTGTATTTGCATTAATGCCTAACAGACACAGGTTGGTTGTGTGCGCGTTACTGCACTTGTATGTAGGAAGATAGTCCCAATGCTGGTGAATACTAATGTTGGTAATTGGTATTGTAGTGTCTTGTGAGCTTCAGGTTTCTATTGGGTGCCCTCATGGGCTAGTGGGGGAATTTGAGATCTGAGTAGTTATGATAAA